CAGCTAAGAATAAGTAAGGGAAAAAGGATTCTTCCTTAGGTCTGTATTTTTAGACTTTTTGATTTTTGTTACCTTCCCAAATGTATGTCTTGGAAATCAACAGTTTATGATGTGGGGGTTGTTTGGTTTGGTTATTTTTTAAATTATTATTTATATATCTATACTCTTACTTGCAATGCCACCTTTATTTCTTTGGATATTTTACATATTTCACATGAAGTAGTGAACAGACACAAACATATCAGCATTGTGGCATAGTCCTATGGCCAAACCTGTGCACTAGTGACTTATGTCCAACCTTTACACTAGAGAAAATATATCCTGGCAACATGGGTGAAAACAAGACAGTTTAAATATCTCTAATCTGCTCAAGAGGCAATATAGCACAATATGGTATATTAAAAGCATTCCTTGCACAATAAAAAAAAAAAAAAAACCAAAAAACAAAAAACAAAACATGGTGCCATGAGGAAAATCATTAGTTAAATTAGAGAAGGTGGGAATTAGTAAATGACTTAAGAAACTGGTAGCCTGTGATGGTAAGGGTGACACGTCCTATTTTTTAATGCATCCCCCAGCATTTTGAAAAGCCATGTCGCACCAAACCATACTAACAAGAAACAAAAAGAAACTGTGCTCCTGGGGCTTGTTACAGTGCTCTGCTCTCAGTGCACTGAGATGCAGAGTGCTTGGAAGAGTATCATTCCCACCTACTGAAGACACACAATACTTCCACAGCAGAGGCTTACCAGATCAGCATGTCAAAGATACTGGTTTCTAATTTGAAATCGTCTATTATTTGCAGAAGATGAAGGAAAAGGTTATCTTGTGGATCTTAGTGATTCAGTGTGAGAACAAAAAAAAAAAAAAAAGTCTGGTTGATGTTCTCACGGTGTTGACAGTTCTGCTCAATCTCCTTTTAAACACAAGGCACAAGGCAGCTCCCTGATCTGCCTCTCTGCCAGCAGTATTTGCCCTGAGCCCAGAACCCACTGTAAGAAGTACAGTGGGAACTTGAGGAGCTGGTTCCACAATTATACAGATATTGTCCAAAAGTTGGTGCAACTGCAGTGTTACTCTGCAGCTACACCCCACCCCCTTTTCCCTCAGCAATGCCAATGTAGTAGCACATAACCTACACAGCCACCCATACTGCAAAGAAAAACATGACCTTGTAGATTGTTGATAATTGTTTACTTTTGTTCAAAAATACTAAGGATACTAAGGATTGGATGAAGCAAAGGAAAAGAAATATTAATCCGTTCTAAGGAAACGTTAGTGTATTTTATGTGTGTGCTCCTTTAGGATCAGCACAAAATTTTTTGGTGTGAATGTAGTCCAAAGGGAGCAGAGAATCACTAGATCCATCCTCTCTCTCTCTGCAGTGAGGTGTCTGGTGTTTCTTAGAAATTACACATCTAACAGAACTGAAGCTACACCGACTACATGGACCACATACCTTCCTGGAGTTCTCATGCTGTTTGGGAAGGCTAAGAGCCCACCTCCGTGTGTGGCAGTCCATAAAATGGCCTCACTGGGTTTTCTCTAAGAGAAACTCATCAAAGCACATCTTAAATTACTTATTACGGCATCATCTTGGGCTAAAATGAGAGCCCACATCAGGAAAGAAGCTATAAGGGGTGGGAAGGCGTGGGAACAGAAAGATGACACATGGTAAGAGATGCCATGTGCCTGAAGAGAAGCTATGCTATTCCAGTTTACAAGATCCAGCCTGCTTGGTGTACCCAAACAAGCATCGTGGAGAGATGTTTAGGGTGCGTGCAAACCAATGGGGCAATCACAGCGATTACAAAAGAACCGCAGCTGGCACAGTAATGCGACTAAAATGCACTGCAACTCCGGTTAACTCTGTAGCTATATACAAATCCGACAGTTACTTACAGATTATTTTCGCCTGATTTTTTCAAAGACAACTAAAGAAGCTGGATACTCAAATGCCTCTTATTTTCAATTAGATTAGGGGCCTTACTTCCTTAGATTCTTGACAATTCCTCACTAGACTCGCTTAGTATTTCTATGCGATCAATACAAGGCTTCCTTTATCAGTTACAGGAAGCCATCCTGCCTGCCACTCTGCAACAATCTCAGTTCTGGTTTCCATTTTGTAATTTCAAAAATAAAGTTAGATAAAAACAAAGAGAAGGAAAAAAAATAGCTTACCCACTGGCAGTGAACAGTGCTAAAAAGCATCCAAGTTAATTTTGTAGTATTCTGTACTTGTTCTTTGCAAAGTCACACTCTGGCAGTAGATTTTGAAGTCTCAGATCCATAGACCCATAACAAATGTCACTGACCCAACTTAAAAGCTAGTGAAAACAAAGGTCTCGATTAGAAAAAGAATCGTATAAGGGATAGTAAATAACACTTCAATTTTCTTAACTGCTACCTTTCCATTAATGCTTTCCAAACTCAACAAGGTGCTACACTGTTTGCATTTAACATATTAAGTGAAAAATTTTTCTTGTGACAAAGGAGACAAATGGTTTTTACATTTCTTACTTGCAAAGATGCTTGAAGACTCGTGTAATTATTCTACATTTTCTAATGCTTTATCTTTTTTTTGACCTGGTATTTTACTTCAGCACAGGACTCCAGAGCAAGGGGACCCCAGCTGAGTTTTACGGTACCTGTGGAACAGGCTGATGCTGCCACCTTGGGGAGGATTCTTTCCATGTACTTCGAGAAGCCTAAGCAAGTGTCCTCTAAATCAGTTTTTAGCCCTGCCGCATCCTCACAGGAAGACAACTTCTTAAAATCCTCTGCCCGTGCTGTTGTAAGACCTTCCAGATGTGTCCCAACTCGGACCACATTACATTCATAATAACACTGGAAAGAAATTACTTTTTTCTTGCGGGGAAGGTTGCTTAGCCAAGTTTTAGATATCATTTAAGCAGTGCCTTATTTACACTAGTCTTAATTTTACATCCATTTTGACAGCATAAAAGTCCTGTTCCGGATCCAGCTGGGCAAGCTGTATTTTGCACACAATACACCTCTGCTTCTGGGATTCTAGCTGTCTCAGTAGTCTAAATCCTTGTCCATGCACAGCTCAAGTTACCTCCTTGACAGGCTGCTGGCTCAGTCGAATGTGACTGCTAGGACATATACCACCTCAGATGTCATGAGAGGCTTTACTGTGCATAGGAACAGTCTCATGAGAAGTACAGAGCTAGACTGTGACAATTTAACTCAAGTCAGGACTTCTAGGCAAATTAAAGGAAGCATCTGGATTTTATCTTCATCATTATCCATAGTTTTATGAGACTGACCTACCTTTTTGCTTTGCAAGTGAGTCACCCCCGTCCAGTCTTCTTTGAGCTTATATCCGCTAGCAAATGAAGGAACCTTGTTATACAATTTGTACATAAATACGCCTTGAGACACAATGACTGTGCACAGCACTGAGCCACAAGGTTTTTCACAATGGAAACTATCAGTAGTTTCCTCTGCTACACATAGAATACAGGAAAAGATTTAATGTCTCGCCTCTCACCAGAATAGGCAGGCTTGAGAGGAGGAAACTGTCTGAAAGCAACTTGTTTATGTGCTCTTAAAAACATACAGCAATGAAATTATTACACAGCCATCTATGACCAAGTAACAGAAAGTGCAAACTCATTCGTGATGAACGATGTGAATTTATGCGAGGAGGCTGTGAAGGCACCATTAACTCCTACCTTCTGCCAAAGCACTGGCTGTGTTTGAGGCATCACAGCAGGGCACAGCAGGCTTCCAGAGGAACTGAAGTCTCACTCCACTGCTGTGGCAAGCAGGAACAGCCCGCGTGCTGAGGTAAATCGAGACTTACAGGCTCCCACACAGACCTATGTTTTGGATGACAATGTTCCCAGCAGGACTGGGCTCTGGAAAGCACCTTCTTCCTTCCCTCCCACCACAGACAGACCTACATACCAGATTCACGTTCTCCACGCAAGGACACATCTCCTAATACCCTTGCAGTAAACACATGCCTCCACCCTCCTGGGATTTACAGTCGGAGATGGGGCTTAGCTAAACCTTTCCTTGTGAACAGACAAGAAGGGCTCACTCCACTCTTTAGTTCTGTTACTAGAACCTGGTCATTAAAGCACAAATCTGTATTTATTTTCCACTAGCGCACAGGAGTTCAGATCAACTACTTTCTCACTTGTGGGAAATTGTCTAAAAAGCAAATGATAAGTCCTTTCTGGACAATCTTTTAATCCCTGGTTTTAATGCTACTATAACAAGGCAGAAACTGGTGCTGGCAAGAAAAAAGTATCAAGCTATCAAACCAACAGCTAATGCACACAACTGGCAGTGGTGCAAGCCTTCAGTTTTCTTCCTGACGCACAAATAATTTATTTTAATCCAATTTTTTATTATCTTCATCCATTTTTGTTAGGCAAACAGCTTTACATCTGCATATGTTTTACATTGTGCATTGAAAATATTTAAATTATTAATTCATTGCAATAATAAGAGAAAGTGCATATGCTCTTCACATGTATATACAAACACACTTTCAAGAACATGCAACACAAAGTAATCCCAGTACCTCCGTTTTAACTCTCACATTTAACTGCTGGTAGAACTCAAGTAACTTTCAAAAACATCAACTTCATTCAATCACTAAAGTGATTGCAAAAACTGTATCTGCAGCCAAGTTGTAAAAATGCAACAGAGCCGATTACTCGCCAAACACATCCAATTGAATATCAGTCAGCAATAGATTAACCAGGTTAATGTGTGCGTAACAGTCTCAGCATGGTACATTGCTGCTGTTAGTTTCAAAGTTCACATAAGAACTTTGCTTTACAATGCACACATGGTTTATGAATGAAGTCTGAATAAAAGAGAAATTCAAAGGAAAATAAGGTAAGTGACATAAAATGAAATTAGTTTAACTATTTAAGCATAGATTGCTTACAGGAAAAAAAGAGAACAAACACTTGATCATGATTTTAAAAAAGAATACACAAATGCATGTCCACCATGTCATATTATTTGCTACAGGAAAATAATTCAATGCGCATCTAGACTGATGAATCTTTTTTAAAATGCGTTCTTAAAAAAAAAAAAAATAAAAATTGATCATTGAAAAATCCACAAAAACCTCATTATGAATTCAGTATGGAAGACCATCATGTACAGTATTCAGTGTTGCCTGTAACAAAATTAGTATGTTAATAGCTCTCGCATGTTTGGCTTTGTACTGAAGTTATTTCAAAAGATTGATTTGGGCATGTATTTAATATGAGGGAGAAAGCTTGAACTGCACATGCAAGAATCCAACTAAATTAATCCCAGGAAATCCCATTCTAAAATTATCCACAATCTCCCTATGAGCACCCAAACACAGCATCTTAAAAAAAAAAACAAAAAACAAAAAACAAAAAACAAAAAACAACAAACAAAAACCCACCACCTTTCTGAAGTTCAGGTGTCACTAACAACTTAAAATCAACTACTTGCCAATATGGTTTTCGATCTGAAACAGTTCTGAATTTATTTAATTGGCCAGTATTGCTGTTAGACAATTTATGAGCACCAAAAAGCTTTCAGGTACTATATTACAGAAAAGTACAGAGAATGAGGGGGCTTATTTATGAGTAATTATATTAACTGGAAATGGTACTTACCCATGTCCCTCTTCATCCACCAGTATATGCTTTTCTTTTCCACTAACGGTACCCTAAGTCTAGAAGTTTGTACAGCATACATATCCAAAGTCTCCATTTCATATGGGGTTAGAACCTGCAGCATTGGCTATTTTAACTCTTCTTTTTTTCATTAAGACATACTTATTATAAGTATCAGCTCTTTTGGATTACTCTCTATTTCAACTTCAGCGGTAAATGATGAAAGACACATTCTAAGCTGTTCTCTGCTCTGAAAAAGTGCTCCTTTAAAAGCTACTTCTTCTTGCCTATCCATCTTTTTCCCCAAGAAAAAAAGTATTTACTTTCTGAAACATGGTCACTTAATAACCACAGCATGCATTTGTCACCTTTCTCTTCTTCCTCCCCTAGCTTTTCTCCTTTTCATAACTCTGCTTGCATGCCATTTTCTACAGTTGTTTCCCTACTCCTCCATTCCCTCCCCTCCCTTCTCTGTTGCCTCTCCTCAGCTTTTTCTGCTTTACTTGTTAAAACTCTTCTCACATCTGATTCTTTCCCAGCTCTTCAGTTTTTGCCAGCGAGTGCAGGCTGGTACGTTGCTCTTGTACCCGGTGACACCTTCCATGGGGCCTAGTGATCTCTAAGGAGCAGACCGGGAAGGACAGCAAAGATCTGTCCTTCCCTCAGAGGTGTATGTGCTGCACTGAATGTCTATCTACACCACACACTACTTCAAACATTCCAGGCAGGGAAGGACACTCAAAAGTCATAGAAATCTGTGATTTTTGGTGGACTTTTTTTTTTTTAAGTTATCTGAAACGGCTCATGTTATTTGTTCTTCACTTAGTGGCTGGTTTGTGGATAAAAGCAGAGACAATGACAGACAGCGATGAGATGACCATCAACCTTGTTGTCCTCGGAAGAACTCAAACTGGCAAAAGCACCGTTGGGAACAGCCTGCTGGGCAGCTCAGACTTTGAGGGCCACCGCTCCCCAAGCTCCGTGACTACATGCTGCAGCCTTGGGCGCAGCTGCCGCATTTCGGGGATCGTGAGAAGGCAGGGCTGTGAGCTAGCTCTCCGTGTCCGAGTGCTTGACACTCCAGGCTACCCTCACACTGGTTTGAGCCAAGAGCAGGTGAGAGACACAGTGAGATCTGCCCTGTCTCACCACTTCGGGGAGGAAGGCCTGCACCTAGCTCTCTTGGTCCTGCGGGCTGACTTGCCTCTGTGTCCGGATGAAAGCGATCATGCAGTTCAGTTCATCCAGGTAACAAATAAATAAATTCAAGCGTCTGCCCTAGCGGCACCTCTTTTCTTTTCAGCCATGAGAGCTGACTGCTAGTAAAACAGAGAAGTGCAGCTGAAAACTGGCACGCTTCCCAGTCCAGCAGCTGAAAGGCCCCACTGACAGCTCCACCACCATACACCCTAGCTGCCCTTGCTACCCTAGACCTGAGAACAGAGGCAGAACTGCTCACTCTGTCGTACGTGGGCTCAGCACAAAGGAATTTAGGAACCAAATTTACCTATCAATATAAGCTTCTCTCTCAGAAATGAGTTAATGCTTTATCACGACAGATCCAGCTTGTTGAAGTGCTGTGTAATGCAAACAAAAAGCCAGGTCACCTCACCCTCCTGTGCTCTTGTAAGACCAAAGCAGAGTGCAACAGGCCCAAAATCACACAGAAAGGGACTGACCTGGGACAAGAATGCTCGTCCTGCACTGCTGTATCTGTTCAAGAGAAAATAACTAGAAAGCTACCATAAATTTACTCTGGCTAAGGAAAATTTCTAGCATAACTAGAAGCAAATATGTTGAAGCTCCTGGGGTAAAAAATGTTTTTCGCAAGTAGGTAAGATATGTGGGCAGACACCAAAAAGGAATGGCTTTCTTTTCAGTTGGAGATTTCTCATTGCCATGCACATGTATCTTTGGAGAAAAAGAAAGGGGAAAGGAGGAAAAAAAAAAAAAAAAAAAAAAAAAAAAATATGCCTCAGTTTAGCTATCTGATCAGATGAACCAGGTTTGCATGATTCACAAAGAAACAAAGGGTTTCAGCTATTGTTAAAGTCTGCGCATAACACTTTGCTTTTCTCTTACACTAATGAACTTTCTGAAAACCTTTAGGACTGGAAGGGACTTTCTGGTTCATCAAGTCTTATCACTTTCTGTAACTGGTATTATCTAAATACATATGTAGCTAAAAATATACACTATATAAATATGCGGACAGAAAAATAGTTGTCAGAACATGTTCGATTTGTTTTCCATTCTGATTACTCTCTATTGGTAGGCTACTCCTCACTTCTAGTAGTTTGAGAGTCAGTTCTAATTTCAGCACACACATATTGTCAGTTTACACATTTGTTTTCAGTGTTACCCTTTTTCCTTCTGCAGTCCTCCATCTGTCTATACTTCAAGATATTTAAGAGAAAGCAATATTTACTCAAAATATTTTTACTCTAAGCCAGTGAAAAAACATCATGTTTCTAGTTTGAGACTGTTTTGGATCAAGTCCATATGGGCATTGAAAGCATAAGAAATGCCACCATGCTGCTTCTCTTCAACTGGACCTTTAAAGCCCCTAACTGGAAAGGAAAAAAAAGATGTTCAAAAATAATGAGAGAGCAACACTTACTTCTGTTTCATGATTACAACTGGCTCTCAGCTTATATAATGGATGGATTTTTAGTTACTTTCCCCTTAAAAAAGACCAGATGCTGTGATTTCATCAGCCACAAACAAACAGGACAGGACAGCTGCCTGGGTGCCAGTGAATAGTAATGCTTGCATTTCAGTATATCATTCCAAGAAGGCGTTAGCGTGAAAAGTACCTTTAACAACTGGGAGTTTTCACAATGATCATCTGCAAATGAGGGATGGCATATCAATTAAGATGGCATATCGACAGAAGACGACTGGCATTTAAATCTCTCTGGATATTTTTATTTCAGTAACATAGACTAATGAATTGAGAGACTAGCAGTTACTGATTTCAGAACTAACATTAGCACCGACTTTGAGTCCTCAGCAAATCACAGCACTATCCTCTCTCTCCAAAACTGATAACCTGACACTTCCTTACACAGCTTATGCCTAAATTTTGTACACATTTTTTTTCATCCCTAGTGTCTAAAATAATCCTATCATTACAACATGTTTTTCTAACTCTCTGCTTACCTTGGAAGTAGAAAAATGCCCTCCAAAGGAGCTTTATACACCTTGGTATTTAGGTTACAGAATTAAGACCACTGCAAGGTGGACTTTATTACCAAAGTATGCTTCTTGTCATACACAGGAGTTAGCATGATTGCACTGAAGCTGTAATTTAATTTCTCTCTGTAAATGAAAACCAAATCTCGTATTCATATTAGAATTTTCTGTACTCACTGATAAAAAGGCAGCTTGTTTTCTCCACTCCATCAGATGAACCACAGCAGTTAAAGACAAACTCTCTGACCCATCACTTAGGTTGATGCATTTGATTTGTGTGTTTCCCGAATTACTGAGAAAAGTTCAGTTTTATGGGATACAGCTGGAATTGTAGTTGGTGTTACACAGAAATTCACCGTTTATTTTTTCTACACAAAGTGATTTGGTGATTTTTAAAAACATTTTCAAGAGCTCTAAAAAGAGGAGAAATACAGTTATGTGGAAACTACTGATGTAAACTGTGTCAGTTGAACAACCATTTTTCATTATTTACACAGACATTTTTTAACTGGAAAAATTTTATTAACATCTGTAGTAAGAGAGCAGAGAACTGCTAGTACAGCATGACCACGTATTTCCACTGAAAGTGGATGTCAGTGTCTTGGGAAGGTGAAAAACCCCAGAAATTTCAGCAACTCAGATAGCATGAATTGGATTACTGCCAGGAAAAGAACTTGTAACTGGTCTGTTAATGCATAAGTATATGAGGTGGTAGTGAGGAAAAGGAACAAGAAAAGATAACTATTTAAGATTTGTTTTTCATTACAGGAACTTCTGGGTCCCACATGGAAGAATTTCACTGCAGTTCTACTTACTCATGCAGACAAGGCAGAAGAGGCTGGATTCAGTGAGGAAGCATACTTGCACAGTGCCTCATGTACCCTGTTGTCACTTTTGAGCTCAGTACAGCATAAATACATTTTCCTAGACAATCAAAAGAGCTTAATTAAAGAGGAAAGATGTATTGTGTTAAGAAAGCTCTTGAATTTTATAAGACAGAATAATTATCAAGTGCTTCCACTTAAACACAGCAAGGAATAAAATTAGCTTTCAGGTGCTCTTTTGTCTCTTTTCTATGGTAGGTAACATTTCACAGAAATAAAAGAGTAGAAGCCATCAACTGGAAAATTCCACATCCATACCAAATACCTTTAAACACACAGTTGGAAAAACCTTTCAGAGAGTACCTCACACTACTGCATCCAGAATCCCAGCTTCAAACACAGAATCAGAACAAGGCAGTGCTCTAAATCATGCTTCTAACACGTGTGCATGTAGTCACAAATGAGATTCTACACTACACCAGATTGTATACTGCAGTTCACACAGAACACAGATCTGAAAGAAGAAAAAAGTGAAAAACACACATAAATTCAGACTACAAGGGAGCTTCTTTTCTCAATTCCTCAAATTCAGACTACAAGGGAGCTTCTTTTCTCAATTCCTCAAACTTTCAGAAGCTCCTCTGAATTCCAACGTTTGGAAAAAGCTTTCTAGTATCAAAAGCTAAGATTTGTCTACTGTAAAAGTATTTCCTTACTTTGATTCAGAATTAGTTAGAATTAAGATTTTGAACTTGAAGAATTTTGTTCATTAAGACATTACTGGATATGTAGCTTACAAGGCAGATAAAATAGCTCCCATATGCCTTATGCTATTCAGCACATTTAAAAGAACTAATTACTATTGTTTATTCCCAGATGCATGAAAAATTAACACAGTTTATAGGCACATACAAAACTCATTTGAAAAAGAAATTCATTCATCTCTTCTTTTGCGCCTCTTCCTTTTAATTTTATATCATTGTCATTTTGTTTTCTTTCCCAGTTTATTGGATGAAGTTCAAAGCCTTCAAAATTCAGAGTAGCTGTTTTTTTAATTCTAGTGGCTAAAAAAGCACACAGTTTCAGGGGTTAGATAGTGACCAGTTAATTAAATAATATATGCCAAAATACCTGAAGTAATTCTAAATAGTTATTTAAAATATTTTTTGTGAATTGCTCTAAGATAGTTACTTTCAGATTATTAAAAGCTAGTAATTAAAAGAAGAAATTTGAGGCTATTACCATAGCAACCATGACTACTTGTGCCACATTGTTAAGGAATAATTCTAACTGTAAAACTTAAAGAAGCTATTTCTGATAAAACCAAAGCATCTTTTGTACAAATTATCATTGCATAAAAGCACATTAAAAGAAAAAAATCAATTCCTTTTACACCTTTTGGGGCACTGGCAACAGATATGTTTCTGGTAGTATTTGACTAGCTCTGGCAATGTATTTGTTACACATTCTTCCTTAGTGTTATCTATCATTTGGAAGAAAATATCTAGGTGGACTAGATAAAGAAATATTTTAGCAAAGCGACAGCTTTGGTCTTACTGACATATTAAACAGCTTAACTGTGGGACACAACTGTATGTCCATTTGTATGTCTTAAGGCATAAAGGCCCATAGTTTAACCTTCACATTACAATTGTCTGCAGACTACTGACACAATACAGCCAAGAACAAAGTTGCAGAGGCTTCTAATATATTTGAAAACTGCTTGGAAGAGGAGAACTATTAAAAGGTTACTACAAGAAGACAATTGTGGTCTTCACTGACCACCTGCTACTCCTGCACCTCTTGAAGTGCAGTTAGCACACAAGGAATGCAGCAGAAATTTTTCCTTATTGAGATGCTCTTGCTCCAGAGATCGACTAAGCCTTTTAGCTGTCCAGAAAATGTGCTTGCCTGCTTGTAGTTCTACCATGAACAAGCCTTGGCAATTAAGTCTTGAGCACTGAGTGGTTAATGACTCCTGACAACACTTAACCTCAAGGACAGCAAGCATGGTGAAGGAGTGAACTGCGAAAATGCTGGAAACATAACACATTCTGTACTGCTGGAAGAGGAGTCAAACAAAAAAGGTATTAGCCATGTATTTCAGAGGGGTAATATATTCATGTTTTTTATTTTGTTTGCAGGACTTTCCATTTCAACATCTGAAAAAGCTTTCAATAGCCATTTATTTATTTAATTCCGCTGTTTGCCATGGTCTCTGCCCTGCAGACTCCTTTCCCTTTCACTTCAAATGGAACGCCTTTGTATGTAGCAACACACTGGTCATTGGTATGAAGATCAGGTTGGATTTGCTCCCAAATCTTCTTCTTGGGATTAAGCTCCTTCTCAGGATCTCCTGTTTCAAAACAAAGAATAAGCTAATAGCACACAACACAGAAGGCAGAGCAAGAGCTCTATGTACATACACATCTGTGACAGCCCACAGAGCATTACTGCACACCCTGTCAAGGGAAAAAGACATTACCTACAAATCTAAAAAATAAAACTTTATTTGGAATTAGGGATTGTCTAGGGAATGTCTCCAGAGCATTTCTCAAAATGCTGATCTTTCAGGGGAAAAAGAGGTTCTAAGTAACAGACCACAAATACTGTCAAAAGGAAAAAAAAAAAAAAAAATCAAACCACTGCTAGTTGTTGGTTTACAAAATTTACCAGAGACCAAAAGGATTCCTAAGAATTAAGTAGATGTGGACCACAGAAATACATTGCTAACCAAGACACGGGTTTGTTGGCATCTTCAGTTTAGGAATTAATGAATTTTTATAAGCAATTAATATTAAGTGAATTTGGCAGGTGCCCTTGCAGTTGAGAAATACTGAACTTAGACAAAAACAGTCCAAAATTAGGATACTGACATTCAACTTTAGCTCCAAGCTTCAATACCATTCTACTATTTTTTGTACTATTTGATGACAAGCTCTGGTGACTAAAATAACAGAAGCATTAGAGGTCAGCTTTTATTTCAGTAATTATGGCCTCAGACTCTGTCAGTAAGTTCCCTGTTTTTATGTATACACCATGATAAGCTACCTATGCCCTAGAGGTATTGACAGTCTAACTACATTAGCAAATCTGACCATTTAAGCATCTCTAACGACCACAAAATGCAGGTTTCTAACAGTAACATTTTTAAAAATACTGTTAACAAATTACATAGAATAGTGAAGTATTTCAGAGTCATACTTTTCCTATTTTTAAATAGGCATGAAATACAAAGTATAGGAACCAAACAATTAAGCTAAATAAGCTCTCTTGCTGTAAAGATACTGAATAAACAGCTACCTGCTGACATAATCTAGGTAACGCAAGACAATCCATTCGCTGTACAATTATTTTCTCTCCAAAGGTCAGGCAAATTTCATCTCTAAATTCTAATACAATGCAGATTTGCTTAAAGAAAAAAGCTATTTCATTTAATATGTTACTTAATCATAACGCTGCCAGGTGCTTTTGAGCTCTTATGTGGTAACATAAGCAGGCCAAATGAAAAAACCCCACAAGACTTGTTTTAAATATAGTTAGAGCACATTTGAACCCTGAAAGGGATCCCATTCTATTTCATTGTTGGTACACCATATATACATTTTAACTTGCTTGGAATGCAATATTGTAACCATTCTCCCCCAACTATTAAAATCTTAAGTTCCAGAACAAGCAAGAATCAAAAAACAAATCCCAGTCAACATATCCTCGCTGAGATCCTCTCTCAGAGGAGCCAGGAGTTCCTAAAGGAAAATGAAGATTTTTCGAAGTGAGCAGAATGTCAAGTATTCTCATCTTCCACTACTCAGTGTCCCCAAAGGTTCAGGAAGAACAACTATAAGGCTACAGGGCTTTTAATGTACGTGTTTCTAGTAGATAGTTGAAATGCATTACTGTTTGGTGTGTTCCAGCTGACCAGCAGACAGTTAAATTAACTACTCTCATTGCAGCCTGCCTTATTGTTTTTCTCCTTCAAATGTTTTCAATGGTTCAATCGACTCAAATTTTCAATGCTTGCAGAAGTAAGTTACTTCTGCCTGTAGACAGATCTAATTTCTGTAGATTCTGTATCTGTAACTGTGTAAGAGAAGTAGAACAGGCCAGAATTCTGTTAAGCGGGATAGACTTGCCAGAGCGATTCAGTGTTGCAGTCAAGTCATTTCACAACCATAGTGCACTTAATATTTAAAAGAAAACTCAGTAATACCATTAATAAATTAAACCGAGATAACCGTATTTTTTCATAAAAATAAAAATCCTGTTCAATGCTCAAATTCATGAACAAAGACAGAATTGGATTTAGACCAAAGTGAATGCATACGAACTAATAAATTTGTTAAACAGAATGCTGAATGATCCATTGTACATTTCCTTCCCCCTCCTCAAATATAAAAAGCAAGTGAATTTTTTCAGTAAGAAAAAAACCCCTGACTTTTATTACAAAAAACATGCTTTGGATGTTAATAAGTTTCTTTGGAGTCCTGCATCAAGCTCCCTCGGGATCTGTGGTGAGCTCATATTAGATTAGAATAGGCACCGATTTTAAATACTACCAGAGCTTTAAGGCTGTGCATTTTCCTATGACTTCTCCTCACTGCATTCCTTCTTCCCATAAAATATTCTTTAGAAGGGTTTCTATAAATAAAATAAATTTAAACTTGTAATGGTTTAATGAGCTTCCCACTCTCTTTACATAAAAAGAGCCAAGTAAGAGGCTTCAAATAGTCTTAAATATGTCATTCAGTCTAGCAGTTTAAATATTACAAAAGAAATTCTCATATGAGCAAGAAACCTCTCCACTTCATAACAGCTCAGTAACTACTGAAAGAATATATCTCAGCACAAGAAGGGGCAAGAAGATATGGTGATGTGTGACCTTACGAAAAGTTAATACTATTTAGTCCACTGTGGATTATAATTATGAAACTGAAGGAAAGCATCCATACACAACAGCTTTGATTAGAGAAACCTGTTAAATATGGACTAACTACTGAACTCCAGTTTTAGCACTTTTTTTTTTTTTTTTAAGAGATAGTCATTGACTAAATTGCCAGGATTCTTAGACCAGAAAGATTATTTAATTATATAACATGAATAACAGATTTGTGGTTCCTGTGCATTTTTGCATTTAAAGAGCTTTGTCAAAGCATCAATTATACTGCTATTAGAAGGATTTCACAGTTGGCTATGAAAACTCCAAGAATTATTGCTGTCTTATGTCAATTACTGCATAGGAGGGTATAGTATTTACAGACATGCAATGGAATAATCCTTCTAAGGCTCATAAATCGGACCTTTTCCACTGAAGGTGGATAGAATTTCGATAAAGTTCTTATTGCAAAAAAAGGCCCAAACGATCTTGAAGATTCATGGGTTGGAATATAAAATGGCACTAAAGTTTCCCTAAGGTCAATGACATCAAATAAACAAAAAAGAACAGTCTTCCAGGCAACAGCATTCCTTATCAAATCACTCTTCTATGACACTCTATATGGTTCTAGGAAAATTCTTAAGTTTCTGCAGAAAAAAGTTCAATGGGTTTGAATCAAGATACCATTTGTTTACTTTGACTAAAACAACCAAGGAAAACTAGCTTTTATCTTATGAGTATTTTGTATGGTGGAGAGAGAAGATGTAAAAATAACTTTATTCCAAGCTGCCTGATAGACAGCTGTGTGCATTTTAGAGTTGCTTTATCGTTACTGCTGCTGCTGCTTCTGTTGCTTCACAGACTTTCATACTTCAAACTAAAATAAGACCCAGCTGTCCTTTCTATTTTAATTTCAAGGACTCAAACTGAATCTTTATGCTTTAAAATCACTCTTAAAAAAAAATCTGATCAGAATATAAATGGTTACAATTAAGCACTGAAATTAAATGCCATCTGTCATAGCAAGGACTCTATTCCCCTGGTAACAGTATCAGTGAAGTGCCAGGTTGCCTTTGGTGAGACAGCAGCTAAGAAGCATGTGAGATTTTAACAAAGAATAAGTGCATAGAAGATACAGACATACAGCCCCATTAAAAACTGAGAAACAGTTCTCCAGTCTCCCAGTGAGCTTCCCCTCCTCAGGAATAAAAACAACCACCAAACCAACACACCAAATAGCTATTCAAAAAGGAGGAAAAAAAAAATAAACAAAAAACCAAAACAAAACAACACCAAAAAAAAAACACAAAAAAACAACAAACCACCACCACCAAACCAGACAAAGGAATCAGGCGAGGGAACTAAACCCACCAGAAGTTGTTATTCACCTGGACAAGAAGTAAGTGGCAATAATCTTAGTCTCTAGCTAAAAAAAAAGCAAACCTAAAAAAACCCCAAAAAACAAAAAACTAAAGCAAACCAAAACCTACCAATGAACAGTATTAATATCTTAGTTTACAAAGGCAATATGTAAAAGACAAGTATGCAACAAATTAAGTTACAGAGCAGATGTCAGTGATACTCACTTCAAAATAATAGAATCTTAAAAGTCTTTAAAGTAAGTTTTATGTAACAAGGAGACACATCACTCTACTTCTCACTGTTAAGCATTACGTATATTCTCAATGCCAATGATTAGCTTTAATCTTGTACCTACCAATTTTTCTGAGCAGCTATTTATGAAACATGAGGAAACAGCTGCCATACTGCAGACTACAATCTATAGCCCTGAATACATACGCTTTTCAAAGGGGTTGTAAAAGCCTTTATCTGACACTAATCAGATCTCCATGTCTTTGTCTCCCTGTAAGAAGTAAATTGATATAAAGTGTACAAAACCTTGTATCACAGACTGCACGCCAGTATTTTAGAACCAGTACAACTTTTACACTACGTTTAGCTTATTCTATGTCTTTTACGAATCAAAATTCAACAGAATATCTATATAGCTTAACACCTGGGAATATTTTTAAAACTAACATTTCTATAACTGATTTGCTTTAGGAAGACCTTTTGGCAACTGGAAACAAAACAGACTCAAATAGTTTAGCTATCTTGACAAAACTTCATTAGTCATTTGCAAGAATAGATATGTTGGGCTAACAGAGAACAGCACTACTACCAACTCTCACATTATTTTCAAATGCCAGGTTACTGGCATTTGAAGTTACTTGAGATATAAATTTGGAATGAGGTTATATCTTGGACAAAAACAAACAAAAGACCCTTCATACCTGAAAAGAGCCACCTGCCCAGGCAGACTTGTATATCATTTTGTAGGGCTTATGCACTAGAAGGGTTTACTGAGCAACAAACTCATCCTGACGATGAATAATTTATTGATAAATGCACACACATACAACTCCATGCAATATGGGAAATACTGGAAGTTAGACCACTTTTGCTTAAGATAAAGCGATGCAGTGATCCTGACCAGAAGACCACAGTTCATCAAAAACTCTGTGATCCATGTACCAGTTGACCTGGGAAGGTCTAGGCTTGTGCCGTGTTGCACAAATTCCTGGGGTGCAGAATAAACCCAGCCAGCTGATTCTAACAGAGGAGCCTGCAGGCAGCTCCCACGTGGTATCACGGACTGAGCTACCCGTGTGTCCTCACCGTTATGGAACAGGGCGGCATCAAGTTCTCATGTGAACTTCTTCTCTGTTTGACAGTTGAAATGCACAAGAAAATACAACAATAGCTCAAGTGACCAGAAGCAGGGAATATCTTCTCTGGACAGGGAGTACACAGCATGCTGCACACGGATCAGAAACCTGTTTGATGCTGCACCAACTCAGGGTTCCCATCACCTGTGTGATGCAAGGCTATTTATCCTATTCTCTCTTTTCAACGTCAGCTCTAATAAATAGCATTTGAAATGATGCTTTACAGAATCTGAGTGCCTTTCTTACTGGGATCATAATGGACCATCACCTCCTGATGAAAAACACTTAAAGCCATGATAGAGAAAACAAAGCAACAGTGCTAAGACAGACAGCAACAGGAGAAGCTGAACCTTCGTATCCCTTTCAGCCTGTGAGAAAAATGAACTGGCATTTGGGTAGGCGGGGAACATTCACCAACACTACATCTGTGATGCTTATTTGAATTCCCAGTGTGGAATGTCAGAAACTAATCATTTTAATATATGAGTGGGAGGCAGAGGAAGTGGTAAAATAGATGAAAATATTCTTCTGACAATGCTTAAATTTGATTATTTTCTCTTTTATATTCTGCAAAAAATACGGATTTATTGATTTAATTAAGTGGGAAGAAATCCAATGTCTGTCTGTGGAGACCCAAAAAGTCATTTCCTCCCAGACAAGCAAACAAAAAAACCCTGGTGTTTTGCATATTATAGGTTCTTCTCATAAATAGGAGATTTCTACCCTCCTCCAATCCTTTCCATCCCTTCCTCCTCAGGGGGACCAAAAAAAAAAAAAAAAAAAAATTGAAACCAAAAAAGCCTACCTCAAGTTCTGACACTTTCATCAGAGAGGGGAGAGCTGGAGTCAGGAACTTTTACTTTATCCCTTACACCAAGACGCTCGGAAAGTTGCTTTACATTTGCTTACTGTATCTTGCAAATTGCAAATACATTTGTCCATACATTTCAAAAGCAGATATACATATCAAGACTTAAAAAAGGTAATTTTATATTAAATTACTACATAACTTTTTGGAGTTACAGTTATTTCCTTGTATTTTCCAATTTTTCTCAGCTTGTTACATCTTTTCAATCCTTAATTTACATATCTTAGCATGCCAACAACAATAAAAAAGTTGGAATATAACTAAATCATAAAATTTCAACAAAAAAACGCAACCAACTTCAAAATACGGTTTTATCTGCTACAACACTGAGGTGACCTTGGCAAACTCATTTCCTCCAATTTCCCAAATAGCTACTTACCAGGAAACCCTTCAAAAGTGATTCTATCCCCAGGTACTGCCCCAGGTGGGGGAGCGAGAATTTCCACTTTTTCTGGGGAGCTGGCACACATCACCATTGCTTGAGATACTACTCCTCTCATCTTTGCAGGCTTCAAGTTACAGAGTAGTATTGCCATCCGATTCTGCATCTTGGGAGAGAAAAAAAAAAAGAAGGATACGAGTACTTAAACGCCACATGCTTTTGGGGACTCTATTTCTTTATTGCATAAGAATTAAATGAAGACACCTTAACATTGAACAGAGGAGCATACAGCAACAGATGCACAATTCCAATGCCTGCATACCAGTAAAAAATAATTAATTTTTAAACTACTTAAGAGCTGGCCAGTGAATAACGGAGTAAATGCTAAACTGTGACACACTTATGGAAATACAAAATATGCAACCCAGAATTCCAAAAACCAGGAGACGAATTTCACCTGCATTTCATCTTTACTTATTCTAGATCACCACCTGAGTCTACTTTCAACATAGCACTATTAAACAAACAATTTCATTTTAATAACAATAACAAAACACTCTACAAATCAGGGTAGCTCATAGATAAAAATTTCAAACTGTGAACTGGAAGAATAGAGGTGTTTTACAGAATTAGCTCACTTAAAATTCAAGTTTTACCTTATTTAACCCAAATGCTTCGAATTTTTTTTAACCACTGAAAATGGCTCTATATCTTGTGCACTGTAATTTGTTAGAGACAAACTGCAGAACTAGGTTTCTTCCTTTGTTTTGTTTTAATGAAAATTATAATAGTAAGCCAGAGTAAACATACTTTGTTAGGGGAAACTGCCACACTTCAGCCTAGAAAACAAACCACACTTTCAAACTGAATAAAGCCCCCAGAATATTCTTCAGATACAGACAGAAAATAAGGAAGACTTAATTACCATACTCCTAGTGCACATATATAAATCCATATTTCTAAATTTAAGTCTTTGTGCATTACAATATAAACTTTAAACAAAGCTGCAGGATTAATATTTAATAAAACATATATGATCAAGTTTTCTGAATACTGCATATTTTCCAAGTAGAACATTTTAAAAAGCAAAAATATAAATCTCCAAAATGAAGCAGTTGTTATGAAAAGTTGATCTCGCATAAGTATCAAGGCAGCCCACTGACTGAAATGTTCTTAGGTTATTGTTATGTTATTTATTATATATAAATCACCCAAAACACAAGGAACGGCTGTAAGATGTCAGTGATTCTAAAATGCAAGTGGTAGATATTATCTAGCACTGAATAACAATTAGCAAATGGATATAAGAATAAAAGAAATAAGATTTCTGCAATTGGCAATCAACTTCAGTTTTGACTAACTTCAGAGCATTGTACTTTTATTACAAATTATACAAATGACAAAACCAGACTATAATTAATACAGAAATTAAGATCACCATCAAACTAACAGGAAAGAAAACCAAACTAGCATCACATCATTCTTTTCTCCCCACTCACAGTGGCCCAAACTTTTATATATGCTGCATGAGATTTCTGTACAAGAAGTTGATTACTATTAAAAAGTTAAGAAGTATTTATCAGCTTTTCAAATATACCCTTTATCTCATCACTTTTACTGGGAAGCATCTTTAAATGCTTTTGAAAAACTGCTCTAATAGTAAGACATGGGCATTGATTTCACAAGTAAGTGGTAAGAAAACCCACAAGTTAAATAAGTACTATCGTAAAACAAGAAAAACCCACCCCAAGACAGTCAGACAAAACCAGATCATTACTATTTCAAGGGTGGGGTTTTTTTCCTTTCTATTAAAAATGGCTCAATTTTTAAACCATCTTCAGATAAAGGACAATTCCCTAAGTATAGAGATAAAAAGAAACTAGACCTAAATAAGTGCTTCCTAACAATGCAAAAGTTTTTAGGTTTGTTTTTTTTTTTTTTTAAAGTGGTTGTGCTACTTTTTATAGAAGGAACTTACTGTAATGTTTCCATAAAACAGGGCTTCAATTACAACAGTAAACCTGTCTGTGCATACAAAGAGCAAAAAAAACCACTCTTTACAAACCATCAAAGAATATGATGTTCAGGTATCATTCTATCTGCACTGCTCTTAGGAGTACTTTTTACAGTAAATGATAAATAAAACTCTGAAATGTGCCAGCTACAAAGAGTCAGATCAAGTGATTCTACTCATGGCCACTCTAACCCCACAAGTTAGAGGAACAAAAGAAACAATAAAGTTTTTCAAAAGTAACTGTAGAAATAAACTGGCAAGTTTCCTGACAAACAAACAAGATTTTGCAGAAATTAAACAAAACAATAAAAAAAGAAGGGGTGGGGGTGGAAAGCAGGGGGAGAAACCTGACTCACTTTCCCACTACATGAAAAGTTCTACCAGAAATACAGGGTGTTACTGAAAAGCAGCTGAAGGTAACACTGGTAGAGAGTAAGTAAATGTTTGCTTCTGAATATGTGCTATTATCCAGTAAAGCAAATTCTGATTAAGAACAATAGGGCTAATCTCTACACTTAAAAGGACACAAACAAAAGCAATTCTCTGTCTACAGGGAATGATAAGGCTTCAGCATCTCAGGAGGTGTCTGATACATTAATGAGCTGAGAATAAGCAAAGGAAACTCAAATATTATCTCCTTGAAACAGTAACAATCTCTGCTGGCCTTACAAAGAGTCAATCCTTCTGTTTCTGAAACCTAGGAACTTCAAAACTGAGAACTCAACCAGTGAGAAACCAATTTAGTTTCAACAAAAATGTTAGATGCTACAGTTTCTATGGTTGAACACACAGCTACTTCAGATTCTGAATAAAACAATGCGTTTTCCTGGCATGCTGGTAGAATGAAGCCGGTGGGATGGTGTATAGAAATAAAGCAAAGAACCTAAAACAAGGAAAAGTTAATCCTCTAGTTTACCATACAAAAGAAAAATTACCTTATCCTTGAAGCACAAGTGTTAAATTACTTTTTTTCTTAGGTAATCCCTGAAGTTGCCTGTATGACTGATTATCAACTAACTGTCCATCTATATCTCAAAATCAGATACCGTGACAGACTGCAATGGCTAATGACTATGAGTTAAAACCAACCCACTGACTCCTTTAAAACCAGAGTGAGTTGCAATGCCAACAGCAACAAAAAGCCCTCCTCAATTTATTACACGCTTGGCTGGACTTTAAGTTTGTCAGCAAACATAACTGACAAGTCATAAACTTGGTTACATGGATATTTCTATTTGTTTCATATGGGAAAAGAAGCAGAGTAGCATTTAATATAGCCTTGGAGCTTAATGTTACAAAAGCAGAGGAAAAAAATAGTTTGCTTTAAGAAAAGTGCCTTATATTACAGAGAATGTGTCGCGTCAATAAGTTTACAGTCATGCTGTAGTCGCTGTTCTTTACGATTTAAAGAAACATGGTTTCCCTGCAGACTAGGCAAAAAAATTAGAACATCAAGAGCATGTATAAAAAAATATAATTACCATTCTAGCTAAGAAAAAGAAATACAGATTCGAGTACCATTTGCTAATTCCTGGGTGGACAATACTAGCCCTTAAACAGTGATCTAGAAAGAAAAAAATATTAAGCCATCTAAGCAGAAAGAAAGAGTTTCTCCTACAAAAGTAACACTATACAGTTCATAACAGATACAGCTGTAACGTGTCCTCTCACAAGGAATGGTTGTAAGGTAGTGTTTCTGGAGGCTGATGGTGGCCTCTTTTCTTGCTAGCTTTAAGATACATGCCCTGCATTCTTGTCCTTCACTTCTGATCACTGACATGAGGATCAATTAAGCTAAAGGGGATCTCAGGAGGCAAAATGTGACACTTGAGAATTATCTGAATTTCGAGAAAGATTGCCTGAGACAAGTATTGATGCTAGGAGTACTCAGAGACCCACTTCAAAAAGCCAAATGCAGTGGCAGAAAAGCTGTCGATTCCTGCTGGCATTTCAGAAAGTTCTCCAATGGTCCCCAGCCGCTGCTGAGGGCTCAGCATTGGCGTGGTCCACCTCGTGCTTCAGTTCCATATCCCTGTTACTGATGACACATGTGTGTTTCTATACGTGATACCTGAGCGTGCAACTTCTGACTTGTGTCCATCAGTGGTGCACAAAAACATCATGTGCCACATATAAAGTGGTCATGCAAGAAGTTTTCACACACATAAATAACTTGCACTGCATAATGAAATGTTAATGAAGATACACATCGTGCTTCCTCACAAAAAATAAAATCAGATGATACAAATACTACAGCCTCAAACACTGCTGAATTACCACATCAAACACTGCAATCACAAACAGCTGAATTTTTTGTGAATTATGTCTATAGTACTTGATCTGATGTATATATTTTTATTTAAATATATGGCAGCAGTCACATGCCAGGCCTTCACGTTTTTGAACACTTCAAAAAACACAAAAAGATGAAAGCTTGCCCCTAAGAATTTACTGTCTGATAGACTTGCCAAAACCAAAACCAGACACATAAACTAACTGTTCCCAAAGAATGTGCAAGAATGAACCCCTAATTCTCTGTTAATGAGTACTTTGGATTATTTTCTCCAGACAGAAAGCAGGTTAAAGAGAAAAAACTGTCACTGCTGCTGCATTCTAAACACTTCATGTTCATAAGTTTATTTAGAAAGTCTTTTAAGATGTTTTTTCTACATGCTTTCTTGACAGTTGACTGCTGAAAATGAGCAACATGAATTTTTGCCCACTGCAAATCCAGTAATTGAATGCTATCGAGTGGTCAGTGCAGAATAGTTCTTGTATTCAGTCAATAGCTTTCTGTATCATAAAAACAACAATCAATTTTAATTGCCTCCTACACTTGCAATCTTACCATGGGGATAGGGTGTGAATAGGGATTGAAAAGGCATTTGAGAAAACGTAGCTTTTTCACACTAAGATCAGTTCCTTCATGGCCCGTTTTGCAGTTGCTCTATCCAACACTGCTTTAATTGCCAAACTTGCATTTGAATTTGGAAGCAGCGTTCAATCAATTCCTCCCTTCCACTCACCCTCTAGAAGAGGTATGAAAGAAAAGTGCAATCTTGAAGTCTTAGATGGTTCCCAAGACACACATAAACCATGCATGTCAAACAGAGAAGTGTATCAACTAAAAAAAAAGCATAGAAGCAGACTATTCCAGACACTAAAGTAAAACCACGCATTTTGTATTCCACTGTTGTTTAAGCCACTCACTGCCAGCTAAGTTAAATTTACATGCTCTTTGCTTTACTCCGTGCCAAACACTTCAATGGGCTATAAAGAGAGTTAGAAGGCAAAGGTTTCAAAAGTTTGGATGATATCAAATAAGTCATTATGGGTTCTCTACTATATACAAGGAAACCTAAAGGGAGAATCACATCTGTTTGGTTTAGGAGTCCACTGTGTGCCAATGACATGAGAGAGGAATCAGAAAAAGATCCCAGGATAGAAGCACTGCAAGCAGAAACGAACTGGTTTGGGGTAAGGGTACTTCTCCATTTTCTGGCACGTGGTGTTAAGCGTTACTTCCATTTGCATTTTATTTTTGTCTTCATGACTGTAAAAATATTTTACCAGAATGAAAACACATCCTATAAACAGATGAAGGTCTTAAGATACTTTAGAGAAGTAAAAGCTAATCAGCAAATAATTTTGTTGATACCTGATCCAGAGGAACATGTTTCACTAAACCACTGACAACAGTCCTTGGGCTTCCTTCACCGACATCCACTTCTTCAACGTACAGAGAATCTGCATCCGGATGTTTTTCAGCAGTAAGAATGCAGCCAACACGAAGATCCAGACGAGAAACATCTACAGGTTTTGCATCACTACTTCCAGCAGCTGGCTGCTGTTTCTTCTCCTTCTTTTCACCTATTAAAAACAGTTCAGTTCATGAAATAAACTTTTAAAAAAGCATAAATAATATATGTGGCTACTGCAAGGGGAAGCAATCTGTAATCTCTGAAATAAGTTTAAAAGCACTGTGAAACACAAATGAAGAATAAAGAGTTAGCACTTCTATCACTAGTTTCCAGAGGAGAATCATCATACAGACTCCAATTTATAGACTGTTATTGCAAGTAATTACCACCTTAGGACAGAGGTATTTTCTTGTCTGTAAAGTGAAGTCATCCTGAACTTTAAGTGTAGCTAACACGTATGTAAGTGACAAACACACTATGCGAAGGTCACACCAGTAAGCCTGGTAGCACTGTTTTAATAATTAGCAATTACCAGAGAGTCTTGCCACGGTGTTTCACCAGCAAAGGGAAACTAGACTATCACAAGTCATTGGAGAGTGCTTAATAACAGCTCCTGACTGTGGACTAAGTCACTGCAACTGTACTGTTACGGTTGTAAAGTAACCCTTCAAGATGACCTTAGCTAACGTTCCTCACTTCCCAAATATACTGCTTATGAGGTTCAACTGATGCAGAGTCTTTATCCCATGGCAATGCAAGGGCTTGTCATCAGCCAAACATACTGTAGAGTATAAAACAGCAGCGAAGCAACACTCCCCATTCCCAGCTGCTTGTTTAGATATTCCTTTCGAGATGAGCAATGTACATCGAGTTTGTATTTAAGATTATCTTGTTTAAAAGACATTCAAGATTTGTTCAACAACTATAATCTCTGGGGGATTAAGAAATGTCTAAGCAGTGCTTAACTTAAAACAAGCATATTTTGTTATTCTTTCATCCAAGATTAGCTTACATTAATACGTAAGCTAACTCCCTTCTTTAGGGAGCAAAAAAGGAAAAGTGGTCACAGCACGCAATTTGATTAATTTACCATAGCTCTAGTACAGGGTTGAAATTAAATAGTACACTCAAAAGGGCAGAATTTTTTTAACATAAGCACCAGCTCTTCAAAAATATTTCAGTCCATATATGATTAATAAAAAGCTCTAGTGTTTATGACTGAGTTTTATTAATCTATTTGTAAACAGATTAGTCAAAAACACAGTAATTCAAGAGAAACTGAAAAAATACCATAAAAATAGTTAATATTTAATATCTAATATCATATCAAAGAACTGCCAGCTTGATCCTTGGTATCATTCCACACTGTTCTCCACTTAATGACATTTCTCTGCAATAGTCTGAAGCCAAAAAAAAATCAGCTTCTACCACCCTATTCATTTCACTTCAGAGAAACGAGGTCTGTCACCAAATAGGGAAAGAGAGAACACAGCAAAGCACGTCTATACACAGCATATATACAGATGCACAGAAAACATCCATTTCAATGCCACAAGCTAAGGAAAGAACTGCATTCCTCCGGCTAGTGTCGGAGTCAGCCCAGAATCCATAGCCAGAGAAGCCTCACCAATGAAGTTTGCAAGAACTGGAACAGAGAATATGGGAATAACCAGAAAGGAAAACAGATGCAATATGTGACAGAAAACAAAGTGATTTGAGGTATTCCATAATGTCATCAATTTCAAGACTAAAAAACAGATTTTACGTATTGGTTACTTTGATTGTTAAATGCTATGCCTACAATGGATGCTGCACTCTACAGAAATAGCCTGTTCAGGGCTTCTACTTAATGTTCATGCTATACTTCACCTTCTTCCAAATACAGTCACTGGAAGAAGTCAAATAGATGGCTTTCAAAATTTAAGTTACTTATATAGGACAAAGGGAAATATAATACAAGAAAGTTTTATTTATCCTTACCAGCTGAATACTTGCTCTGTAGCCACTGAATAATTGAAGAAAACAGTTAATTTTGATATGACATGTGACCTCTGCTTTTACATTTACAGCTCTGTGGAATACTGATGTGTCAAAGGCTGCAGTACATCAAAAAATCTGAAGCTTTTAAGCCTGCATACAGCCCACCAGAAAAAAAAAACAAGGAGATACAGTGCCCTATCAGCATAATATTCAAACTCTGAAAAGCTGTACAAATAAATTCATATCAAAGTAATAATAATTTAAATAAGAGAATGATTATAAAACATAAATTAAAAAACAAACACCTGTACTTTTGTGCAAGTGTAACAGACACATCCTTTCTTCTATTAAGAGGGTTTAGTTAAACAGAAGTCAATTCAGACAGCTAGAAAAGAAAAACAGGAGGAAAAGTGTTAAGAAACCTACATATCCGTCTCCTACATTTCCGCCCTGTTGCCAAAACCAGATTGTGCTATCTGCCTATATCCTTTACCCAGTACTTCCTCTTAGTCACACAATTTCACCGGTGTTGACATGGGTCTATCTGATCAATTCTGATGGAGCTTCACTATCCATAAGAATTTTCAGGGGAAAAAAAAAGCACATCGAGGATGCAGAAAACTGCAATTAAGCACTCTTCCTTTAGTATTATGCTATGCTACTATTGCTTGCAAGCTATTTTGCTGAGCTGGTCTTTGCTTTTTGCTTGCACTGCAGGATTAAAGAAAAAAAAAAAAATCTATGCCTCAGAACAGAAAGCCAGTCAGTCTGCCAAAAATGTCTCTAAACTTCGTGTCGTACTCCTTTGACAACCCATCCAGCTTTTTTTTTTTTTTCCTCCTCTGTGTGTGTGTATTTTGGTTTTGCTTTTTTGTTGCCAGGTTTTGGGGGTTTGGTTGGGTGGGGGCTTGGGTTTTTTGTTGCTGTTTGTTTGCTGGTTTTGGTTTTTTGTTTTTGTTTTGTTTTTTTTTTTTTTTAAATAACGGACTTCACTCACATTAAAAGAAAATTTGCATATATCCTATTTAAGTAAGAATCTGTAGTTTACTTGATGGCCTTCATTAGCTTCAAGTACTTCTAAGATTTTAAGTGTTAGCACATGACTCTTCCTACTGAGGCTGTATGAACTGTTTGTTTCTGTGCCCACGTTGATGTAAAAGCACTTGCATAAATTAAGTGTCTTAACTGTCTATCACTGCTAAGAAAACTGAAGTACCTCTTTTTTCTACTTTTTCCTTCTTTTTCTTTTCTTCATCTTCACCTTTAATTTGATCTTTGGAACCAGGAGATGATGTGACTTCTGTAGGTTGTGAAATATCATCTGAAAATGAAGCTGTAGGAACGGTTGTACCAGGAGGAACAGCAATCTGTTTTACTAAAATTAAAAGCACAGAAGTTAAAAGGGGTACCAGAACTTTAAATACAATGACATTTTAAGTTTCCAATATAAATTAAAAAGTAGAGAGAACTGAACATTTTGCTTAAAATAACTGGTTTAGGTTGTTTACAACTGCTGAGTATTGAAGCACAACATTACAAAACACACTTCAGACTCTATATATGATTATTCTGATCAGTTAAGAGCAATGCATTTGACTATACAATTTTTAAATGGAAAAAAGTTTTAAATACAAGAAAACATGTAAGTAAACATCACCTCCTTTTGTAGTTTATTTGAAGATCTAGTTATCTTTGCCATTAACTCCTTAATTCTCATTTGTGTTTGTGGAGTTTCAGTTTCTAGCTACCAGCTACTGCCATACTGGAGACTATTCTATAATTTGATAGGCATAAAATCATTTTCATGTTGTAAGCAGATCATTCCTCAACTCTTTTTTTCTGATTAACTAAAGAAACTGAGCCTGAATAATCACATTCTAAGAAATTACCTGCAGCCCTAAAATGATCTGTTGATTCCTCACTTCCCTAAATTCTGCAGATTTCCTTCATATTTCTTTTTAAATTGCTGATACAGAATTCTGGACACCATCTCACCAACAATCTTACCAGATGAAAGCAGGAAGATCACCTCCCTTCTACATTCTGCTCTCCAAGATTCTCAATAAAGCTTTTTACCAAATCATTGTACTGGGTAAGCATCATCAGCATGCTAGACAATATCATCTAGGCTCCCTTTCCCAAGAAAGGTTAGACCAGATGATCTTTCAAGCTCCCTTTTAATCTGAGCTGTTCTATCATTAATTACTATTTGACAAATCCTTCTAGTTGTCACTATTACACAGTTCTCCATTCTGCATACGTGCTTCTTTTCACACTTCAGATATTTATTAAATTTTCCTTAAGAACTGCACTGTGCTCTCTTCAACACTAAAAAAATTGCACAAATTATGTTCTTATAAAGAATTTTCAAAAATCATTTGAATCCCAGATTTGTTGTACCAACAACCACTTGCTTGCTGTTTTGCTTGCTAGTTGCGGAAAGACTTTCTGTTTCTCACATTTTTGAAAAAAATATCTGAAGTGATATTTTTGATATTCTGTGTCCATCTAATTTCTGTGCTCAACTACTTAATACTGTCAAAGCTAACAAACTCTAATTTACTTCAGAAAAAAAGACCTGAAGTTAGTCCTACTACCTTTTAGATAAAATGGCTAAATAAAGGAAGATGTATGTCTAGCTAAATGTTAATTTTGTAGTCCTTTCCCATCTTGGAAAAAAAAAAAATCATATACCTTGAGACTTCTGACTCAAGCAAAACAGAGATTCTGTGACATATCCTATACCTGTCAAGAATTGCTGCAGACAAACAGACAATGGAGAAATATAAACTAATGGTTTGGTTTAGTACATGAAAGGGTTTTATTCATGCCAAAAGAAGAAAAAGAATTGCCTGCATTTATAAAACGCTAGTCTTCTTGAAGATCGAATGTGCTATTTTACCAGTAAAACATTCAGTACGGCTGAATGCTAGCAGCCAGCTACACTGGGTACCATCTCACCCACTTCACAATACTGACAGCATGGGTAAAACTAGTAATAGCTGCTGAGGGCAGAAGAAGCTTTCTTTGCAAATAATTTTAAAGAAGGATCTGAAACACTCCAGTTCTGTTTATTTCTCCTTTCTATTTTAACATAGATTATATAATGATGGCACAAGCTGAACTGAGCTACACAGAGGAACACAAAGAAGAAAAAACATTGCAACAAAAGGCCGGTGTTACTAAAGCATGGAATCAAAAATTCTAAATGCATTGTTTCTAATTTTACATTACCACAGATTCTCTAGTAAGTCAATGCCCATCTGTACTTTGAACTATGGCTTAATTTTCTATTGAGTTTTCAGTCATGCTAGATTAAATACTCCGAGTATCAGAAGTGTTAAGACATTCAGCAAGTTCTAAGATATTATAAGGAGGCATTGTCATCAGTCAAATTGGGGGCTTATTACAAAAGGCACTGTGTAAAAAAACTGAAAGAACAGTTCCATATCTGAATAAGATTTGGCATAGTCTTGCAGCTTACTAAAACACTGGAATTAAATAACTTGTCATAGGCATAGAACCTAGGAAAATCCAGAATTTGTAAGAAATGCAAAGATTTGTATACAGAAAGAAATCAAGAGGAATTAAGATAGTTTTGATCATATTTTCTGCTAACTAGATTATTTGTTGTATGAGGATCGGACTTTTTTTTCCCACCTCCATTTCGAATTTCTGCCTGAATCAGTTCTTGCTTCAGCCCTTCAATTTCTTTCTTCAGTTTAGCATTTTCCACACGGAGCTTCTTCTCTTCTCGGAGAGATGCCTGCAAGACTACAGTTGACAAGATGTTAAAAAAACCCCCAGGCTTCAATAATTAGCATTCAGCATTTGGCAAAGAGAGGTTTTGTTTTTAGAGACAAGTGAAAAATGGTGAACCAAACACCAAAAAAGCAAAAACTTTCAAGAAGTATATCATCAGAAAAATTTTAGAATCCCTTTTTTGTTGAAATACCCATTTTTTACAATACTCATGTACTCAAGTTACCTCTTGATATACTAGCTTCTCAGTCCCCTAAACAGACACACAACAAAAAAATCCAAGAAAATTAGAAAAAGTTTGAACATGTTTGTAATCTGGAGCACCTTAATTCACTGACACTGATATGTACAAAGTATCAAAGTTGAAGGTATGACACTCTTGAGAGAATCTCATAGTGGTGAAAAAGCAAAAACACATTCAGGAAAATGCACAGTCTCACATTCCTCCCAACACCCTCTCTCCCCCAACATGGAATTGTGTGCTATCAAATTTCCATAATCCATTTCTGTCATTAATCCTAACTCATTCATGCCTTTTCTATTTCAGAATGAGAAGCTTCAAAAAAACCCCACAAACCACAAGACAGTGAAGCGGTGCTACTATTACAAGCTTTATCTTTGAGAACTTCAAGCACACTTAAAAGGCTGACAGCACCAGTGAAGTCGTCCATGTTCTCATTTTTCCCTATGAGTATTTAATGGTAACCATCTGGTTAACAGTTTATCATAAATTAGATAATTCCTTACTAGCTTTCTCCTTGAGCAGAGCAACTTGTTGCTTGAGGTATTCAATAACTTGATCGGCCTCTGCACCCTTCTGCTCCAGTCTGTTCAGCACTGCATTGTTGGCTGCCATCTTTACCAAGAAATGGGCTAAAAACCTAGACAAACAACAGAGTTGAAAATTAATGCCTTCTTAATGTAAAACCACTACCATCCCTTACCACATGAAGCAGTTCTAAAATCAGTTGCTGAATAAGAAAATTTGCTAAGTGAACAAGCTGGGCTCCTACTTCCTAATGCACAGCCTAAACAAAATGCAATGTTAAAACAGAATCTCATGTTTGACAGCTCCTTTCAAGTATTTTGGAAGAAAAGTTACTTCTCTTCCCAGCTGCAGAAAACATGTTTTTCCTTCATGGAACAGAAAAAATTCCACTTTCTCAGAAAAAGTTCTAAACAAATTGGGAAAAAAAAAAAAAAAAAAAAGGAAATAAAAGCAAAAAGATTGAACGGGAAAACATTGTATCCTGGTTTTAGCTGAAAAATGTACTAAGTGTACACAGAATTTTATTGAGACTTAAAAAACCAGAAACATCTCATGAAAATTTCCAAACTTTTCTAACAAATTTATTCGGAATATACTGAGTACTTGATACATTCTGGTTGTGCAAATTAAGAATTTGCCATTATTTTACTTTTAAGCAAAATTCACCAGCATTTTTACTCATCTCTGATTAATAGAACTTTTACTGCAGGTTTCCACAGAGTTATTTTAGCACTGATTTCAACTGTCTTATTTTGTTGCCGCTGAAACAGAATGCCAGGCACACAGGTAACAAATTGAAGAAGCAGGAAACACAAAAGACCAGTAAAGGCAAGAGCACAAATAAATGTTCTCTAACCTTCTTTTAAGATGTTCAACTCCTTTTACTAGGTTTCTCTAATGCTCCAGAAACTAGCTATGACTTCTGTACAGCCCTTATTTCTTGAAAGCTACCAAATTTGGCCTACTTCCTTCTCTGCAGCATTTGTGCCTAACCATAAAAGCTCACAGTAGCAACAGAATGATGAAATTCAGTTACTGCCACTCGCTTCTGCAGCAGATACTGCTTTTACTGTCCCACTCAGTACATAGATGAAGAAAGAATATGTACTAACAGCTGTCTCACCTGTAAATCAAGAAAACTGATTATAGGTGGGAAGAAAACATGCCTTGCAGATCTTCACAAGCAACAGTGATGCAATTCCTGTGAATTTGCCCATCAAGGGCAACAAAGGGAAGAATTGGTAAGCAAATGGCAATCCAGATGCGTGCATTGGCTTCTCAACTTCATCAGAGCCCCAAATCGCCTTTTCCCATATCAAGTTGGCAGAAAACTTCCCACTTTATTGCAAGATTATTCTGACACTATAACCTAAATCTGTTTTTACCATGCAAATATTCTCTGCTGGGATTTGCAACAAAAGCTGTGCTGAAGACAAAACAACTTTAGAAATAACTGAAAGGTGAACAGATGACACTGGCATCAGCACGACTGTAACATCACCTTTGCTGCACTCTCAGTATCAACTTATACTTGATATCTGATCTTCTATTACAAAGAACTCAACTCTCTACAGCTATATATCTTTTTAAATTAAAAAATAAAAGTGAAAGACAATGAATCAGGAATAGGGTAATTAAAAGTTCTCAAAGTAAGATTCACAAAGCCAGAGAGATACAGTAGTCATGCGATGCATGTGGTATATTACTCTTGCAAAAGTGATGAATGAACCAACATCTTGCCCTACTTGCAAACCACTACAATCAAAGTCTGGTTTACACACACTGTTTTGCTTAGAGAGATGCAAGAGTGTTACTGCCATCACACCTTCCACTCATCCACAACACATTTTTCTAATAGAAGAAAGAAACTTCCATGGAGAGAAGAGCAGTAAAATCATCTTTCCTGGACAACCAAAGTAATTTTAATATTAAAATTAATCTCTGCTAATAAGAAAATAATTTTGTTTTCATGTGCAGTCTGAAAACAGAGGGTTTTAAAAAGGAAAGCAGTGATTCCAATAAATTACTGATGTAGATATCAAATGGAAATAGACACAAAACTATTATGGCACAACACTGCGTAATATGGAGCCTGGAGTATTACTGTCTGCATAGCGGTAAGATTTCTTGCAAGCTACATATTCTCTCAGGGGAACATAATACTAACAGTGGAAACTGCCAACAACAACAGAAATGCTACTAAAACTTCGAAGTGAATAGAATTGGTACATTTTACAGGTTTTAGCCAAGTGGGCTAATGACCTGAAGATCTGGAAATGAAGTTATATGATTACAATGGGTAGACATTTTCCCACTTGTCAAATAAATTTCTGTAAAGCTAGTATTTTAACGAAAACACAAAGGAATAGGTATTTCCGATACTAATATAAAGAGCCAACAGGCTGAAATGAACTGCTGCACAGGACCCCAGAAAGCACACTGATAAAACTTGTATCTAAAAAGGGTGGGGGTTTGGGTATGGGGTTTTTTTGGGTTGTTTTGTTTGTGGTTGGTTGGTTGTTTTTTGTTGCTGTTTTTGTGTGTGTGTGTGTGTTTGTTTGCTTTGGTTTTAAGAGCCAAACTTTATTATAAAACATAAAACACATTTCAAACATTAGCACTGCAACAATCAAAGGTTAGCGTCAATGATTTTTCTGGAATTTTCTTTTAACCTTCTCCCTATTTTCTTTGCCCTCTATTACCCTGGCACCCCCCCACTCCCCACCCCACCCCCCCCCCCCCAAAAAAAAAAAAAAAAAAAAACAAAAAAACCAAAAAACAAACAAACAAATAAAAAAAAACCTTAACCAACCAATTTCTACTGGTGATACACAGACTAAAACAGGAAAGAAAACCAGGAATAATATAGCTTAAAAAACAGATTCATATCTTATTTCAGATACATTCTGATCTGTTTTGTAGAAAATGTCCCAAAGGTCAACTGAAAGCAAAGTCACTTCGTACAATTATGCCTAACAAGCTGCTTACCCTTCAAACAAATAGTAGTTCTGAAAAACAAGTAAGGAGAAGCTATTTTCAGACCTTCTGAAAAGCGTAACCTCTTCAAGTTATCTGGTTGCTCAGCTAAGGGAAACTGTTTAATTTCAGACCTCTGAGGTTACCTGCAAGACATTCGTAACTGCTCCAAAACCCACCTGCTCCACTATAGTGAAACTAAATCTTCGGATGAAAGACTTAAGTCGTGCAGTTATTAATGAAGTTACATATCAACACATAAAAGTTTTATAATTTCTCACCATTCTACTTGCTGACTGAAACAGTTGTCTATCTTTTTTTAAACACACAGCACTGTCTCCTACTGTCTTCTACATAGTTGCAGTACCCTCACAGGAGAAAACAGTCATTTTTCTACTTCATTCCTCAGTAACACATCATGTGGAGTGGTTCCCAAAGCAATGAACTCTTCATAATAATCCAGACTTCTCATATAGTACAAATTAGCCCAAAATTTCAACATGTTTTACAAATACTGCTTTATCAACATTGGCCTTGACCTCAGAATATATCCAGATCAGAAAGTAAACACACCAAGAAGATTCTAAAAATGTAAATCTTACTGTAGCTTACTCTTCCGTATTAATATTCTGTGCTTTTAGAAACAAGAAAAAGCCAAAACCCCCATAAAATTAATGACAGTATTTAAAACTTAAACTCTAAAAATTGTTTTTGGAATCTATCCATAGTCCGAACATGGAACCAATTACTTTTCACTATAGGAAAAGCAATCGTTTAACCAAAAAACCAGAAATTGGAAGCCAACTGATTCTCAAAACCTAAAATAATTGTCTCTAATCATTCCTTCTTCCAGCTGGAGGTTTAAAAAAAAGCTCAGTACTTCCAAGTTCTCAGCTTTTCCTTGCAATGCTTTAATGCCAACACACAAAGTAAGACTACTAACTGAACGAGATCTAATCTGCAGGCTACTCAGTAACACTTACTGCCTACAGTTCAACATATTCTCCACGTATGGATCAAGTACATCTATGACACTGATGCAGCTTTACTTCAGCATTTTAAATTCAGTAAAGTTTTATGCTGCTCTCTTAGGTGACAGGCATCTTCTCATTCTTTCCCACAGGCCTTAATGCAACACAACCAAATGCCATGCGTGTTTCAGGTGGTCACCCTGAGCATATTTTGAGCCTCCAGCAAAAAAAAAAAAAAAAAAAAAACAACAATATTACCACAACTACCTGCTCCTCCTCTGTCCCTCTCCTAACACTAACACCTCCACAGTAAGAGACTAAATTTTCACAGCTCACCACAGCTAGGAAGTGTTCTTCATTGCACAGCTGCTTTTCTCCGACCCATCATTGCTCTTTGCTTTGTGAGAGCTATGGAAAAATCAATTATTTCTACAGTAAAGCCAATCCTACTGACCTTTAGCAAAGAGCAGAAAGTAATCACAAGATGGCCCAGACAGCATAAACATGTGCCTTACAAAGAATGCCATGTTCATGAACAGCCACCAACCAAGACCTAAGATCAGGCAAGAAGCCACTACAGGAGAAAATAAAAGGCTGCAAAAAACCATGTTTGCTTATCAATTGAGATGCTCTGTTCAAATTAAAAGTTTGTCATTATGAAGCAGAACCAGTGGGATCAGACTCATTCTAAAAGTTAATGACATAACAGAAGTAATTTGTCCAATGTTAAATAAAGTTAATTCATTTCAAGTAGAGAAAAAATATTTAATGGCACTTTCTGTTACTAAGATTGTGGTCTTAAATCTCAAGAAGGTCTCAAATTAAACTGCTTTTCTTCTTCTGTGAGATGTCTCAAGATGCTTTATTATGGCCAGCTTGTATAGCAAAGTAGTCTACTTTCTGTAAAAGACAGAAAGTATCAACAATCACTGTTTCTGCAAGAAGCATGTTCAAAGCTTCCTTTCTGAGCATCTTTTTTGAGTACGGTCATTTCTGGCAGACAATCTTAGAATAACCCATAAATATAACAGAACCTGCCAGCTGTTTGCCAGATTCTGCTTTCCTGTGTTTTGCACTTCTATGAACTCTCAGGACACAGTGAATCAGATTTAAGAATCTCACATCACCCCTTTTTATTCTGCTAAGTAAGGAACAGTAGTTAGCAGATCAATAAAAAGAAAAAAGAGTGGAACTATGTTATTTTTTGCTAAACCAAAGAATCAGCCCAACTAGGAAATTGTAACATGTCCCATCTTCTCCTGTCTCAGAGAATCGGGATTCATGCTTGAACAATCAATTCTTACAGGTTTTACCTAACCTGGGATAAAATATTCTATGACCTGATGCTGTAAATATATTTGGATAAGATTTACAATGTCTGATTTGATTTCACATTTTTGGTAGAAAAACTTAAGGTTTAGCTTTCAAAACTATAAAAATTTAAACTATTAAAAAAAACCTTAAGAGAGCTACAACTGAGTAGTTTTGAAAACAAGTCTTAGTTTTGACTTCATCATATCCCAGCCTCACTCTAATTGAAGCACAGAAGATCAGCAGCAGCTCTCAATTTGTCCTTAGGGAGACAATGGCCTGTAACAGTTAGAAATTTGCAGTGATGTAATTCTATTGCTATGACATTTTGGAAATCTGCTATATTCAGTAAGTTTCATGCAGTTACCTATCACCACCGAGTAACATTGGGTATTTCGGTGGTTTTATACCTGTTACACATTGTAAAATGCAATCATGACTTTTACAGCCAAATACTCCTTCTCAGGCAATGTAATTCTAAAAGATTCAATGTTTCTAGGCTTCAGAAGCTAGAGAAGATCAGATTTACTTATGAGAAACAGAAGTTTTCCACATCTTTATCTGTACAAAAATATAATTCCTCAATAACAAAATGAAGTAAAACATGAAGCTCGTCACAAAGAGTTTTCAAAAAAATGTCCCTTTTAAACCTATACGCAAATAAATAGGCTAAGGTATCAGTAAGCAGCACTGTAATGCTAGAGAAGAAAACAGAAGTCTCTTAGATACAACTTTTGCATTGCTTGAGGCTACTTAATCACAAGCAAAGCTCTAGTTTCCTTGTTATAATAAAGCAAAAAGTCATAGTGCACCCCATTACGCTTCAATATGATTTCACCCACATTGAAATGACAGGAACATATCAGTTAAGATTTAACTACCAGCTCATCCATCTTTCAGAATTAAGTATATTGTTAGCTCTGTACGGGAAGAACGTAGGTTT